AACTTCACTTTTATGTGACTTACGTATGGGATTTTTATGTTGAAACATTAAAAAAAAAAAGAGCTACACCTTTTGGGGTGCCTGGGTGGCTCGGTTAAGCATCCAATTTTGGCTCAGGTCATGATCTCATGGTTCATGGGTTCAAGCCCCACCTTGGGTTCTGCACTGACAGTGTAGAGCCTGCTTAGGATTCTCTCTCTCTCTCTCTCTCTCTCTCCCCCCCACTCATGCTGCTCTCTCTCTCAAAATAAATAAACTTAAAAAAAAGAGAGCTACACCTTTTACAAAACTTAAACACTACTGAAGTATTCACAACTTTTAATACCAACTTTTCGGAGTAGCATTTAAGTCTTTTTGAGATTTTAAGAATTATTTGGAATTATTGTTGTAACCATTAGTTATAGCCATTGTGACTGTAAGAGAATCAGCAGTCACAGCACAGTGTGTCTTCCAGAGATTTAAAAATATTACCTGATATACTATGGTTTTACTCTATGTGGACTTTCTAATTGTTTTTGTTTGGAACAACTGAGAGTTTGACATACTTTCAAGATTTGATTGTTAATTTCCTAGGTTATTCCTTCATTGTGTACACTTTGCCTGGTAAGATTGGGAATAAATGAATTTTGTAGAGTACACAAGTAGTAGAAAAAGAAGTGCTCACTGAGCCAAAATGGAAATTAGAAACTACCCCTAAACCTTTTAAAATGAAAAGTCCTCAAGAGAAAAACATAGCAGACCCAACCACTACTTAGGCAAGGCCTATGACAGATTCAAATCACAAACTTCCTTTCTCTCCTGCCACAAATGTCAGCAACGCTTGGCATCTGAGTGCAATGCATTTTTCCCCCTTTCCGAACAGCTCAACTTGGAAAGGTCAGCATATCCCTTTGGGAAAAAATCTTTTCTTATAAATTGGAATGTTTGCACACATAACTGTAGGAAATGTTTAACATTTGCTTTGATGGGACAGCAATTTGTTCAATAGAGTAGAATTGTTCTTCTTTTTCCATGTTCCTGCCTATTTGTTCATCACAGGCACACAATTACTGAAAGCAACTTTGAGTACTTCTTTCTATGAGATCAGATCATCCTGTCCACAAAACCAGCCAACGCCTTGGGCTTCCGAAAGGCAAGCTATGTTCCATCTTTTATTTACTCCAAGGGACTCATTTGTGAGAGACTGTTCTGAATAAAAGCAGTAATTTTCCACAGACTGAAACTCTGAAGAAGGGGAGGAAGGGTGGGGAGACAGAGGGTGAGGAAAAGAAAAACAGAACTGGTCCAGGATCTCCTGTTTCACCTTCGCACACATTCGTTTCAATGTGGATAGGATACTCAGCGTCCAATGTTTCAGATGAGATAATTTTGTTTGAATCTTTTGTTTTACTTAAAGAGGGACACAGATCGTTATGACAACAAAGCAATTCACTGTTTGTGATCAGCTGCCTCCAATTTGATAATCAACATAAATATTTGTGGTTCATGGAGAATTCTTCACCAGAGCCCATCTTCCCATCCATCTTGAATTGATGAAGAACAGTGCTGAGTTTGTGTGTCATATTTGTTTCTGTAGCAACAGTGGATACCAAAAACAAGTTTATAATTTTTCTGAAGGTAAAAATGCTTTAATTTAGCAATGACTAAAAATAAACATAGGGAGGGACTGTAAGGAAGAAAACAGCATCTAGGTATTGGTCTAGGCTGGACTACAGGAAGGGACCTGAGTCAGCACAGCTCATTATTTTGGGACATTTCCGATTATTCACCTCCAGAAATAGTTTCCCTTCCATTTCAGCCAAATTCCTCTATGGTGTGCTAAGTGCCCATGTGTGCCCTCAGGCACGTGTGTATTCCAGTAGAAGAAATATCCTACCAGAGACAAACTACCTCTGTCCACACACTTGCCCTACATCCTATCCCTTCTCATCTTCTCTCCTTCACTTAATCCTTTCTCTCCTAGGTTATCAATATCTTTCCATTTCTCAACTATGAAAGCATACAAACGTGTTCTATCTCCTCTCAATATTGAAAAATAAAACAAACACTTGTAATTCCTATCCCCTTGTAACTACTACCAACTTCCCTACTCCTTTTGACAGTGAAACTTATTTAAAAAATTAGCGGCACACGTTGATTTCTACTTTCTCTCTTCCATTCACTCTCCAACCCACTTCAATCGTCTATTTCTTCAAAGAAAAAGATCTGGACAGTCACTAAGAGTTTGTCAAAGCCAGTGGGCATGCATCTGTTCTCCTGTTACTCAACTTCTTGGTTGATTTCCACAGTTGACCACTCTACTCTTGAATCGCTCTCCTCTCTTGATTTTTCCCAGTACTACCTTCACCTGGTTTTTCTCCTACTTTTGGGCTGCTTCTTCTCAGCCTGGTTTGTTGGTTCTCTATCCTCTATTTGAATGTGGACATGCCCTACGACTCAGTCTTTGGCCTTCTTTCTTTCCTTATGCTCTCTCTGGATGATTTTATCCATCCCATCATTTTAATAGTATGTAAATGCTGAAAAGCCCCAGGTTTATAACTCCAGCCCCAATGACTCCTGTGATTTTCACAGTCATATGTAAAATTATGCACTTGACATTTCCACATATATATTTAATAGACACCTCAAATTATTCTCCCTAATGTGTTTCTCTTTCCATTCTCAGTAAATGGTACTACCATTGACTCAGGTGCTCCAGAGTCATCCTTAATTTCTCTTTCTTGAACTCTACCACTTCCCCTCCCCACATCCGATCTCTCTGCAAATCACCTCAGTTCTAAGTTGTATCTTTATTCAAGTTAGTCTCTATATCCACTTCCACCTCCAAGTTGTCATAATCACTCATCTAGACTATTTCACTGGTCTCCCTGCTTCCACTCCTGCCTGCTTACAACGCCTTCTGCACATGGCAGCCATAGTTACAAAAAAAAAAAGGAAGAAAAGAAACAAGAAAAAAACCCCAGATTATATCACTGTCCTGTTTAAAGTCCATTCATATTTCTCATTGCACCGGGAAGGAATTCAAACCAACCCTAACATGGTTACATGGCCCCATATGAACTCGCTTCCTCTCCACTTCTCCCAGTCGCCGGCTTACTCCACTTCTTCCTCCACTCTAGCCACTCTGGCCTCCTTGATGCCCCATCACATGCCCAACCCCTTTCTGACTCAGAACTTTTGCTTTTGTTCTTTTTGCAACAATTTACTCCCATATCTGCACATACCTGGCACTTTTTAATCCATCAGTACTAATGTTATTTCTTCAGAGATTTGTTCCTTACCATTATTCCTGTTACTCTTGGTCAAAACACTTTATTTACTTGGAAGTACTTAGCACTTAGTACTTACCTAAAATGATTTTCTTCATTTATTGGCATGTTCTGTGTTTTCACGGACAGAACCTAAACTCCCTGAGGGCAGAAACCTTATCTGTCCCCTTCAGTATTGCTGACTGATCCAGTGAAGTGCCCAGCACCCAGAAGTATTTGTTGGGTGAATTAATTCATTCAACGACAATTTTTAGAACGCCTACTATGCATACTGTTTTAAGTTCTTGACATACATCTGTGAACAAAACAGAACACAGATCCCTGCCCTCAGAGACCTAGTATTTTAGTGGGGGAAGTGGGCAATAATCAAGACATAGAAAGTCAAAATACAGTATGTTTAAACGTGGTAAGTGCTATGGGAAGAAGAGTCTCTGGGTGAGAACTTAGGATATTCTCTTCGCTTTGTGGTAGAGTGGAAAAAACCATTTGCTTTGCAGACACTTGAAATCCTGGCTTCTAGAGATGAACCATGAAACTGTGAGCATTTTACCTCTTTGAGGTTTAGCTCCCTTATCTGTAAAATAGAATAATACCCCACCTCACAAGGGACAAATAAAGTAACAGAGATCAAATATTACCTCATCCTTCCCAGCCACCCTATTATTCCAAGGGGAGGAAGCATACGGTCCTAGCACATTCTCCCCCTCTGCATCCCTGACATGCTTAAAGAAAATCAACCCAACTTTTCTGAAAATACTCAACACATCTTAGTGAATAAATGTATGAACAAACAAATGTATCAGTAATTTCAGAGCAATCAAAGCTACTTTCAGTCAGAAACAATGCTTTTTTAGAGTAGGAAATCCTCGCCTCTTTTAATCATTGTTTTCCCTCTTTCTCATTTCTTAAGTCCATTTTTTATAGACCCCTACTGATAAAGAAGAAAGTATCCATTTAGCCTTTCTTACCATTTACAGAAGTAAAACCACACAGGTAATTATTTTACGGGAGGATAAAACATTTATTTAAATGTAAACACTAATCTTTATTTTCATCATGCTGAAGTGTGTGGTTACAAACAATTTCCAATAAAACACTATATAATAAGCAAAAAATAAGTTAATACATCGTAAACTTACATACAGTCTCATCAATTAACAGGTTTAGGAACAAACAAGCCATTTCACGACTTTGAAGCTACATTTAGTAAAAAATTGCAAACACTCAAATCTTATCAACCCCAAGTAAGACGCTAAGGAGCTATTCAAGACTTCTTCAAACCAATTACACAAGTACAGTTTTATTTTTGGTTACAGTCCCCTGCTGTGCACAAGACCATTGGAATGCTGTAACAATTACACATTTTAAAACGGCACAAAGGAAAGCAAGGAGATAACATGCCAGCCTTACAGAAGCTGTCTTGAAAAGTGCAAACTCTGCATTTTCTCTTCCTGAACCACTAGGATAAGAACGGGTACCTCAGACGACACGGCAGGGTCATGAGCATGCTTTCTCTACCACTGGTGGGGCATTTACTTGAACCAGGTCTCCATGCCTTTGAAGATACCTCCGGTTTTAAACAGTGAACAGGCTTCAACTAAATATAGTGCAAATCAAATACCGAGGAGCAAAAACGACAGACTAGAGGCCGCCGCAAGTCGACCTGCTGTTTCTCCACCTGGCACGACGCCACACGGGACAGATTGGCACACGGAAACGACGACTTCTATTTTAGGTTTTGATGTGAAAGGCGGTGCGGCGGAGCGAATGCAGGGCGACCACACAGCAGCCCCGGAGCAAGGCCCCGATGTTGTAAACGGGATCTGTCCCCCCTCTCTGAGTACTGAATGCCCACAGAACAGTGGGGACCACGGGGGCAGCCACAGCCAGGAGATCCACCAAGAAGCTGCTGCTCCAGTACTGCGTCCCTACGGCCCCGCGCGACAGCGGGATGATGCCGTCCAACCTCTCTTCCGTGGGGCCTGCAAAATCCAGCTCGCTCATGAGGCGGGTTGCGGGAGCTTCCGGATCCACCGTGGCGGAGGGGGTCTCCACGGGAGACAAAAGGATGGCCGAGTTGGGGTTTCTTGGCGTTAAATCCACCATGAACGCAGAGATGGACTCGGGGAAGCTTTCTGTCGAGTCAGCCCCGGACTCGTCAGGCGATGCTGAGCTCGAGGGCCACGGGTCCCGGAGCTGGAGCACGTGCTGAATGAGCTCCGAGACGGCGGGGCTGTAGGGCACCACGTCGGTCTGCACCGCTCGCTCCACCACCGCACTGCCCTCTTCCTCCCCCACCGCCAGGGGGAGGCCGTCGAGGGCCGCTGCCGCGGGGGCGGGGTGAAGGAGCTCCAGGTTGCCCGCCTCTGCGGTGGCGGTGGTCACCATGCCATCCAGCAAATCTGTGCGGTCGGCCAGACCGTCTCCCACCAGCGGCTCGCCGTCGGCCCCTTCCTCGGTGCCCTGCTCCTCCGGAGACAGCCCGTCTGCCATCTTGCCGAAAGGGGTGCCGAGGGGGAAGCTGTTCTCTGGGGAATCGCATGGGAAGTCCAGGCACAGTTCATCCCTCAGGGAGCCACTGTGCGCCATCTCCATGCTCTGCAGTAGAGACTCCAACTTCTTGTTTTGAATATTTATGTCCACAAAATATTTCTGAATGCCTTTATCTTTATCAGCCAAGCTGCTCCTCATAGTTTCGATGACCTGTTTGAGCTGTTTGATCTCCTTCCTGGCTTCCTTCAGGGCCAGCTGGGCCTCCACGCGGTGGCACTCTTCTTCAATCCAGTCTTCCCTCATCCGGGCCAGCTGGGACTTGAGCTCCACAATCTCGCTTTCCCTGCAGGGAGAAGGCAAGGTCAACTTCCAACCGGGCGCCTAGCGATTCTGCCCCAAGGCCAGGAGCCCGGGCTCTTGCCCTTGAAACTTGGAGGTTAAATCAGTTTTGATTTTTTCTTTTCTCTCACAGGTATTAGCCGGGAACTGCCCCCCTTAATTGCAAAATAGCAAAAATGATAAGAGTAACTAGAATCAGAATAAAAAATGTGACTATTGTCTGCTTTTCTTTTCTTTTTGAGTGCTATCAGGCGATGCGCGAAGTGTAAGCATTAGCCTCTATTCGGTATTTAATATTTTAAATTTCGTTAATGGGACACATTAGAGTTTCTTAGCCTCCTTTTATGTCCGTAGACCACCTTTTTCGTATATCTACACTTTCTGGAAGTAAAGTTCATTTCACTTTTAATTACCGATCAAAGATGGAAGGCAAACTGGTAAGTTTTAGCCTTGCAGAACTGTTCTGATCATATTCCAGTAATAATTTGAATTTTTTTGAATTATAAAATGCTGCATATTGCAAGGACTTTGTGAAAATTATTCCCTCTCTTCTCAGGGGAAAATGCTAGTGGATCCATCCTACACTGAAGAAAATCTATCCCATTTTTTAGATCCTTCACAGGACCCTGATTTCAAGATCTTTGTTGGCGATTCCTCCTGATAGATAATTTCTTCACAGTCAATGTAAATACAAGTCCTCATATTCTCAGTGGATATGAAAACCAGGCAGTCAGGATCCTGATATACATGAGGAGATGTTGTTAATTTTGCTTCTTTAAGTTTAGACCGGAGTAGTCTCCAGTTTCATTGCCTTCCCCTGCTTCCCTGCCATGACTGCTCAAACCCTCACAGGGATTCTTCAAATCATAAACAAAGACTTCCAGCAAGTAAGGTCTGACTCATGCCACCCCTGCCCTGAACTCTCAGCCACCCTGGTCAGAGCTCCATTCGTCTATCCCAAAAAGTTCCGAGGGAAATCATGAAGCAGAAAATCTGGCCTGCCCCAAGATGTCAAAGGTCTTTTCTCTGTGATAAGATCTCTTAAGCATGGGCTTTTTTTTTTTTTTTTTTTTGGTTTTTGTTTTTTACCTTAACACTTAGCCAAGAATAATGAACCTCTTCCTTCGGCCCAGAAATAGCTTGCAGGAATCATAGTGCACATGGCCGTCCACGCTCTCAGAGAGATAAACAGGACTCAGTAGGGGCCCCATGTGTGACCCTTACTGCTGGAAGTATGGGATTGTTCCTGCCAGTGTTCCTGCCATTTAAAAATAGCCACGCACACACCCAACCCTTCATGTCCGAGCTGTACACACCCAGAAGCAGAGGTTCCCCTCAAACCTTAGAGGGTCCCTGGTGCTCCTGAAACAGCCAAATCACTGAGGAATAGGAAATGGCTCTTTTGAAAGGCTGATTTCAGGAATTTACCAAAAATGAAAACAATTTTCTTTTCTATTTCTCTATAGTGTGGGTTTGTGTTTCATTTCATGGAAAAAGAAACCATCCTTAGCTCAGCGTGCAAGGAATGCAGATTCACCTTTCATGAAGCCGGCGCTCCGATTCCTTCAGCTTGGTCTTCAGGTGTCTCACTGTAACCTCTTTTTGCTGCAGAGGAGTCAAATATTGCTCTGGGTTTGGGGGTTTGACACCATGATTTTCACCACAGGACATGTACCTTCCAGACCGCCTGAAACAATCCAAGCAATGAAATGTTACTTTTTCTATAAAAAGAAAAGTGACGGCACAGCTCACAGCTAGGGAAGAAAAGACAGCTGGGTACCGGGGTCTGAAACCTCAATGATGCAGGATTTACTTAAGAAGGGGGTTGTAATGTTACCTGCTGATCTTAGGACTGCTCATCACTCAGGAGAGTGTGGGGAGGGTGTTTGTGGAGAGGGTGTACACAGTGGAGAGGGAGGAGTTTTCTATGGCTTAACAATGACCTCATACAAAATAATACATGATTGTGCACAGGCCTGCCTGTGGATTGATTCGGAGTAATGCACTGTTAGAGGACAATGAGTGGGGCGGGTGGAGGGGGGAAGGACTGGAGCGAGACGGCCTGACTTTCCACACAATGTGCCACTGCCTAAACATCCCGATTGTTATTAGTTGAATTCAAACAGTTCCAAAATCAATCCCTGGCAAGAGTGTGCTGATTTGGTGGAAAGTTTCCTCATTCCAAAGGGGAAAGGCCACTCCACTGTCACCAGAGTGTGTGTTTTGTAAGAGAGATGCCTGGTGTTGTAGAAATCTTCCTGAGCTGGAATGTCGGCCCCTCTCAGGCCTGGCTGGGGCTGGGCATCCCTGCTGGAAGACAGGTGACTAACGAGAATGGCCACCCAGAAGGAAGAAGGCTGAGGAAGGAGGGCTAGCAGCTTTCTCCCCAACGCTGGAGCCCTTGCCCTGGTCCCGCTGAACCTGCACTTCATCCAGATGGCCTGTGTCCACCTCCCAACCTTCCAGTCCCCCTGTTGTGGCCCCTTTGGTTGTGGACGTCCTTTTTTCTGCAGCCTCATGCCCCCCAGGGACTAATTAATTCCTTGCTTGGCTTTCGGATTTCATTTCAATGTCATTTACTCTGATCCCTCCAGACTGAGTTGGACAGCCTCCTGACCTCTTACAAACATACGCAGCGACAGGTACTTGCAGAAAAGCCTTAACATGTCTTTGTCACTAGATGAGCAATGTCTTTGGTATCGTCTGGGCAGTTGGCACACGGACCCTCCCTGCTGTCCACTGTCCCATTTCCAGTGCTTTACACGGCCCCTGGCACAACATGGCACTCAACAGATACCTGACATTTGAATGAACACGTGGATGATTCTTTCCTGTTCTGGGGACCCTCCCCCTGCCACAGTGCCATTTTTCCTCCCTATCCAGTCCCTCCCCGGGCTGCTGAGCCTTACCAGAAATCATGGTTTGTGTTCTTTCTGCAGCTGCCCTTGAAGGATCAGCTTAATGCGGGAAAGAGAAGTGGCTTTTTACAGAATAAGGCAGGAGCTCAAGAGATGCATAACTTTTTTTAAGTTTTTAAATTTTTTGAAGTTTATTCTGAGAGAGAGAGACCATGAGTAGGGGAGGGACAGAAAAAGAAAGAAAGAGAGAGAGACAGAGAGAGAGAGAATCCCAAGCAGGCTCTGCTCTGACTGTGCAAAACCTGATGTGGGACTTGAAGTCACGAACCTGAGAGATCATGACCTGAGCTGAGACCAAGAGTTGGATGCTTAACCAAGCCACCCAGGTAACCGCCTCCTCTTTTTTTCTAAGTTTTTTAAAGAAAACTTACCAAGTAGGACACACTAAGCCCCACGACCTGGGAAATGAACAGCACTCACCTCATGACTGGGCTGCAGTCACTTCCTTTGTAGGAGCCGGAGTTGCTACTACTTGGGGAAGAAGGCGCATAGCTGGGATGGATGTTAACGGGACTCAGCTGATTCCTGCACAGCATGGACAGGAAGTCCTTCTCCTGTGGGGAGGGGGGGCTGTTGCCAGACTTGTACGATGAAGCTCCATTACTCCGCCCATGGGGACCTCGGCTGGGAGAGAAAACATGAGAAATGTTAAAATGCTTGGGGCTCCCAGTGCTCAAATGCTAATACTTAACTCCTGCTAAAAGCCAGTTACTACTAAGGAAATCCAAGCTTCAGAGTTGAAAGGGGCAATATAATTACCGTCCTCAGGGACAGCCTTGTTGCCGCCTGACTGATATTTTCTTTCCTTCTGCCATTAGCACGGCAACCTCACCCTCTGCTGTTCTTTCAAATAGTTTCTGACCATAAAGCTTGTTTTGAATTAATCCCAAATGCCTGTTAAGAACACAAACCATGTAAAATATTGATTTGGTTTAGGTTCACTTTAGAGGCTGTTTTGAAGATGTGGTTTTCATTCCAGTACACCTGTTTTAGCTTAAAAATGTTTGGGTTTGGTTCATGCTGGCGGAAGAAAATGAGGGTGGTTCATTTGGAGTATGAGGGAAAAACAGGGTTGCCCGTAAAGGAAGAGGAGAAAAGAGGACAGATAAACAGCTCATATAAGTGTGTCCAGCCTACAGTTTTAACCACCTGTTTTCTTTCCATCCCCAATGACTTAACACAACCTTTATCGTTTAACTGCTGAAATGTTTTAAAGCTCTTTCTTCATTCCCTGGCCTGTTATTTTGCCCCCTACGCAAGGAGGCTGACTCTCTGGCTGGAGTGGCCTTTCTAAAATGGAATTGGATATCACTGTCCTCAAAGCCATTCAACAGCTCCCCAGGGCCTCAAGAGGACCGATCCCACCTACCCATCGAACCCATCATCTGCCACTCCTCCCTTCCCCCGCTGTATTCCAGAATTCCAAACAACTTACACTTCCCTGACGATCCATGCTCTCCACCATTTTTATGTTTTTCAACTTATCATTTTCTCTGCCTAGAATGCTCTCCCACTCCCTGCCCTAACCCTTGGGATACTTACAACTTCGAGACTGATGGAAATCCACTCCAAGCAGCCTTCTCTGGATTCTTCCTTCCCTAGGCTTGTATACGTGTGGCTCCTTAATGTTCCCTAGTACTCCGTGAAAACTTGCATCCTGGGGTTTATTGCAGTGTCTCACAACTACACAATTGTTTGACTTTCCCACTAGACTAGGGCCTTCTGAAGGCAGGAACACAGTCTGTTCTTTTATATCCCCACTACTTCATGGCACATGCTAGATGCTCCCTAAATGACAGCTAAATGAATAATTTGGGTTTGAGCCTTAGCAATGCCACTTACTAGGAATTTGGGCAAGTAAGCTACTAAATATATGGGGATATATAATAATAACCTTTTTTTTGTTGTCCTCACAGAGTCGATGTGAAAATCCAAAGAATGCATGTGAGTGCATCTGATAAGATGTTAAGGGCAATTCAGCTGTAGGATATTATTACAGGAAAAACTTGTTCAGACTTCCCTATTAATCTCGTTTCAGAGATTTGGCACCCACTATGTAAGGCAGCATCTTGAGAATGTTGCAATTACTTAAATAGGATAACAGTTCTGTGTCAGAAATATTTCTTGTTGACATTACACGAAAACGAAAGAGAACAAGATACCTTTCATCCAGAAGTACTGCTTTTTGACAATCCCCTCTTTGCAATTCTGATTTACATCTGTATTCAACTGACATGTCTCAATGAGAAACGTGTGTAAATGTGAGTGTGCGTGTGGGTATACTTGGCTCCAAAACCACACTTACTCAAAATCAAATATAATTTCAACTAGCTGTCAACCCAGTAAATCACACATAAATGAAACATCACAAATTCTAAAGTTAAAAAGTTCTTTCCTTTTGAAATCATCCAAAGGGACTCTGCCTCCTTTTTGTGAGAAGGGGACACTTTATATGGAACAGATGGGCTGATGGCTTTGTGACAAACCAACTCAGCAGCCCAGTGGTGCTGGGCTGAGCAGCAGAAAAGAACACGACGGGCTCTGGCTTGGATCTGCTTCTCCACACTTCACTTCCGAGTCTACTGCAACCAGCCTATTTCTCAATGTGACAATGAGAAATATGCAGGATTCCACACTACAAGTCAGGAGAGACAGTAAGGAGCTAACCTAATTTTGACCTGGGAATTCTCTTCTGAGTCGACCTTCACCAATGACCTTCTGTGCCCTAGCCCTGTTCCAGATGCTTTATGAACACAGTTTTACATTGATTTTGAGCATCATGCTATAAAGCTGGTACCTCTCATTTACATTATGTGAAGTGTGTGAAGTATTCAGTTATGTGAAGTGAGTTAGGTTCAGGGAAAAATCTGGTCCAAGAACACACAGCCAAACTAGGATTTAAATACAGATTTTTGAACGTTACAGAAATGCCTCCTTCTTACTTTACACAAATAGAATATATTGTTTGCAGCTTGTAAACAGGTATATTAGGTACTATGTATGTGGTTATTACCTGAAGAATTCACCACTGACCTTTTACTACAGTGCAGTCACTAAGATACAAATTAAGTTAGATGGGAATTTTTAATAACTCACCTGCGATACCGAATAAATAAAATCTCTTCAAGTATTAAACATTACTATAGTACAATAAAATCTTCAAATATATTTCAGGAAATGAGTTATTAGACTATAATAGTTGACTTAAAAAAAAAGAAACTACATGCTTAAAAATATCAGTCTGGGGGGGTGCCTGGGTAGCTCAGTTGGTTAAACGTCTGACTTCAGCTCAGGTCATGATCCCACGGTTCTTGAGTTCATGTTCCCATCAGGCTCTTCACTCTCTGATCTTCGGTCTCCTTCCCTCTCTTTCTGTCCCTCCCTCATTCCTGCACTCTCTCTATCAAAAATAAATAAACATAAAAAAAAATGGAAAAGCTCCTTTAAAAAAAATATCAGTCTTGCTCTTTACATTTAGTTCAGTTCAAGTGCTAACACACATGGGCACAAAGTCATTGCAAAACATTTTCAAAGGAGAGGCTAGGGTTCCATATTTGTCATGGCCATGAACAGTCAAACTTGACGATACCTTCCTCAGCCCAGTCTAAATCCCTTGGTGTGGTGGACAAGAAGAATGCTTTCCACAAAGAGGAGACAGAATTCTGCGGACCCTGCCCACTTCCCGAATACCTGAATACAGTAAATGGAAAGTGAGAGAAAGGGAGAAGGGAAGAAGGGAACCAACTTCATAAGGGGCCTAGGTGAATTTCAGTCCCTCCCCCAACATTGTCCTTTACTTCCTGGTAACATTATTATTATCATCATCATCATCATCATCATCACTGTTATGGGTTGGATCGTGTCCACCCCCCAAATTCATAATGTTGAAGTCCTAACCCCCAGTACCTAAGAATGTGGTTGTTTTTGGAAACAGGATTTTAAAGAAAGGTAATTAAATTTAATTAATCCCAGTCCAGTTTGACTAGTATCCTTATAAGAACAGAAAACTTGGACACAGGAACAGAGAAAGGTCACGTTGAGGAACAGAGACAAGATAGCCTTTTATAAGCCAAGGAGAGAGGCTTCCGAAGAAGCCAATCCCGCTGACATCTTGATCTTGCACTTCTAGCCTCCAGAATTGTTGAGAAGGTAATTCCTGTTGTGTAAGCCTCCCAGTCTGTGATACTTTGCACCAGCAGCCTGAGAAAACTAATATGAACATCATCACCACCATCGCCATCTTCTTCATCATGTCCACTAGTATCATTTTTACCACTACTGACTAAAACCCACTTAGGACGCTTTTACTAAATTCTGGACACCATGTTAAGCACTCATATATTAGCTCATTTAACTCAGTGAGGTAGATGCCACTATTAACCCATTTTCCAGAATAGTAAGTCTCGGGGCTCTGGCTCACGTATCTAATAAATAATGGAGGCTAAACTAAAGCCCATGTTTCTCTGACTCCAAATTCCAATCTTTTTTTTCCTTCTCATTTCTATCTGCCTCTGATCAGATTAGGATTTTAGTTTAAGAAAGAGAATTCTTCAGAAATGGTTGCAGAGTTGGCCTTCAGTAAGAAGAGATCATTTGTAAACCTTTAAGTTTTGTTTTTTAATCCCCTGTCAAAAATATTCTCACCAACTCCACTTGTTTATTTCTCCCACTCCTTCCCCAAATGTTCATGCTCGCCTTCCTCCCAGGAGCTAATTCTCCACATAGAAAATTCATTTATTACAGGAGAAGCAAGCCATTTAAAGGATCATAAGCTATTATAAAGTTTGGCATGGATACCCGGCCCATCTAGAGGAGCTGTTCTCACTGCAAGATCCTGCAGAGCACAAATATTACGTGAGATGCTCAAGATACCCCATCACAGAAATCTACTGACTGTGCTCTGTGCCTGGGTCAGATAAAAAGAAAAAAAAAAGTGAGGATCATGGATAGAACATTGTCAATTCCAATTTCCCATTGATGACGCCTGTATCTGATTTGCACATAATTCTATTTAGCTATGTTATGATTAACATGTCAATTTTTAGTTACTTGGAGAAACCATGGATTCCAGACTAGACAATTTTCTGTAAGGCACTCAGTATTGTTGACATTACCTTGGAAATTAACCACAAACACAAACTTCTTTGCAAGCCTTAATAAAATTGGCCTCTTCCACAGGCCATTTCTTTTTTCCTTTGCTCTGCTCTTTGATACCTTGTACCATGGTATGTGCTAATTTTCTTGAACGGATTAGATAAATGGTTTATTCCCAGAGCAAGCCACATCTGATTTATACTGAGAATGTTTATATTCATGTTCTGTGATCCCAGAGGCATTTTATTTCCAAATTAGATTGTGTTTGGGGATAGAACAATTGTGCTTTTTCATTGTGGACTTCACGCTTTTGTTTGCTTGTCTGGCTTCAGCTTTGTTTTTTAACAATAAAACTTCACCAAAGAGGGTCTCAGGTCCCTTTATAAACATCAGTTAAACGTTCTGCTCACCCAAGAGGAATGGGAAATATTTGCTTGCTGAATCCTGGGAATGCAAGTTTCCAGAAATTAGCTAGTTTTTCTCCAGGAAGAGACCTTAAAAATTATGTGGTCCAACCCTTTTTTTGCAAACTTGGACACTACAGCCCGGGAAAGTCCAGTGACCTGCCCAAAGTCTAAAAACAAATCATCCCCAGTGTCTTGCTGCTCACTCCATTGAACTGTTCGGGTCCCTGGCTCAGAGCTCAGCTTATCACAGAGCTGTCTTGGAACCAGCCTATTTAAAATGTACCACGTATCCCACTGCTCTCAATATCCTTTCTCTCTGTGTTTTTTTTAAAATTTTTTTAACGTTTATTTATTTTTGAGACAGAGAGAGACAGAGCATGAACGGGGGAGGGTCAGAGAGAGAGGGAGACACAGAATCTGAAACAGGCTCCAGGCTCTGAGCAGTTAGCACAGAGCCCGACGTGGGGCTCGAACTCATGGACCGCGAGATCGTGACCTGAGCCGAAGTTGGACGCTTAACCGACTGAGCCACCCAGGCGCCCCTCTCTCTGTGTTTTTAAAAATAATTCTATTATTTGTGTATTTATTGTCTTTTTTTCCTACTAGAATGAATAGAATTTCCATGGAGTTTTGTTTACTGCCATATCTCCAGAACCTGTCTCATAGCAGAAGCTCAATAAATACTTGTTGAATGAATGAAGTCACTGACAGTAGGAGAGAGTCCCAGGGCTTACAACCTTTCCTACCAAATGTGAATGGTGGGTCATGATTTCCCACAGTTCCTCTCTTCCCGCAACCCAAATAGCATCCATGGTGAACATCTGTTGATGCTTGGTATGTTCTAAGCACTGACCCCACACTATGTGTATATAAACCCTATGAAGTGGGTATGGGTATAGTCCTATTTTACATATGAGAAAACTGAGGCACAGAGAAGTTAAGCAACTTGCTCAGGGCCACACAGCCTATAGGTGGTGGAGCTGGCATTCAAACCAAGGCAGCCTGGCTCCAGAGCACAGATACTTAGCTATTCTGCTCTAATGTCTCTTTATGGTGGTGGCCACCCACGCCATTAACTTTAGTCTTTTTTCACCCCCTTCCCCTAGTGACTGTTGGGAGTATTCAGGGGTCACTATGAAGTCAGGTTCCACAGCCAAGAGATGACACAGTCATGAAGGAGGGCAGGTAGGAGGTGGATACCAGGTGAGTACACAGGTGAGCGAGAGAAAGAGAAGGCAGAGGACGAGCAGACACACAGCCAAGGACCGGATGAGAGACAGCCACCGGGTAGACACATATTGGTCAAGCCCTGTGACCACAGTTGGTAGGACAGGGGAAAGTTTCAATTTCAAATCATTATAAAAACCAAAACCTACTCACTGAAAAATAACAAAATCATGAACGGACAGTAATCCAGGTGGTTCTATAGAAACATAAAGTACAGGTGAGTCACCTGCCTAAAGCGTCTCAATAATTACAGAGCAGGAGACGGCGCCTACTTGCGTGAAAAGGAGGACCGCTTGCTTCCCGCAGCAGACATATGGACCTCAGGAGCGGAAATGCTGCCCGTGCTGCTTGAGGAGCTAAAATCAGCTTCGCTACCTGAAAAACAACAGGGGAGTGAGAGAGAGGCCTGAAGGAAAGGAAACCTGAGAACGTGCTGGCCAGCCTCCTGCCTCTCCGGTCTGGCTCCCGGCGCGGCGCGTGCACACTCGAGCGCAGCAAGTGGCAGGATTCCAGACCTTCTAGGTTCCCAGCCTTTCCCTCAAAGCAAACAAGAGAAGGTGCAAGTACAACGACATCACGTCATAAACACAGCTTAGAAGCACGGTGAGGCCAGTTTCATAAAGACACCCATCATCCAGCTGATCGTGCACTGTGACCCAAGGTTGCGGCAGAAATGCACGCCTCTTCCTGTGTGTTGGGCACTCCTCGACAACATCAACGTGCAGGGCCCAAACTTTAGGCAGAACGAAAAGCAGACTTGTCAGTCCCAAAGGAGTTTTTCCAGGAGAGTTTATCTTTGGGCTTTTGCAGTCAGCTAGCCATACTTGAATCTGGCATGTTAGGGTCTGGAGAGAATCAGTCTGTTAGAAGCCGTTGGGAAGAAAGCCTGGGTCCGGATAACTGCTTGAACCGGCACTATCTGATCAGTGACTCTCTGACTCCAGCTGCTGTTTTTCTATTAAGAGCACAACCCTAACAAAAAGCAGAAATGGAACATTTCCAAACAGAATGAAGAAAGTTCAGTGACAGTGATGGAAACTGGATTATACTGATATGTGAAGTTTTACTTGGGGAGGGGGGGAGCGGGTAGGGGGGTTGTTCATTACTTTACAAAAATCACATTCTATTTTGAGCACAAACTACAGTTCATATGTAATTAGAAACATGCTGTGTTGCAGAATAATTAATATGAATTCATTTCTAACAAAAAATACATAGTTCTGGAATAGTAATAATGGAAATATTCCAAGGATTGCCTGGGGAAGTTAAGGAGAGTGAAAGATGCAAAAGAGAAGAAGTGGGAAGAAGAAAGAGAAGATTAAAAAAAATAAAAGATAATGTTCCATATGCTTTGGAAAATAAATCTAGGGATACAATTTTATTTGACCTTATCTCTCAACTCCTACAACACAATTTATGACTCTTCTGGTCTAGAACCCAGAGCCAACTCACATTTTTGAGTTGAGGAAAATATGAATAATCTAAATCCTTTGAGATTCTAACAATAATTATCATCACAATAGTAACACAAGGCCCTATAAGGACATGATTTCTATTCTTTGTTTCTGTTAATCTTGACAAGTCTGTAAGGCAGACATATATCTCACTATTCTACACTGAAGAAGTCAAAGCTGATTTGTCCAATGCTTGTGGGGGAAAAGTCCTGGCCAGGACCAAGTTCCCCTGCCACTTCTCCATACCAGGCTGCATCCTCAGGAAGGCAGCGGGAAGGAGGGGCGCCAGGGAGATTCCTGGGTAAACTATATACTACCATCTGCCTAACTGCCAAGATGACCCATTGGTACAAGACGCAGCTGGACTAGCCCACTGGTGAACAGATCCTCTCACTGATGGGTTGTATTTGTTTTGCCAGGTGATGGCAAGGTAGAGAGAGAAAAATCCCTTTCCTGGCTTCCAGGACCTCTCAGGAAGTGCAGCCTCTTGTGGAAAAGAGACCAAGAATGACCTCTTAGCACAGATGTCAGCAGTGAATCCCAATTCCCAGCAGAATTCTGGGAGAACTAGGGTGGCAATTTATCAGGACTGAGATCAGCTATTCCTTCTGGATTTCAGAGACTGTCTAACATTGTAATGAGCTCCCCAAATGTAATTAGTTGCCTCTGAGTAATGCACTGGCTAACCTGTAGTATTTTACAATCTCAAGGATTCATCATTGGTAGTGCTGTCCAGCAATACGCCAGTCCTGATGGCCTTAATCAACCAGCCTTGCCGGCTAGTAAATTATCAGGTTGGTTATTAAGTGATAAAGGCAGACATTTTTCAAAAATAGATCCTGTGGTTGCAGCCACCAGGTTTGAGATATTCTTTTCTAACATAAAATTATGGCTCTGAAACACCCCAATTTTCATTCCTTAAAAGAAACACAAAAGCCCATCAATTATAACTTTACTACCTGAATAACAAGAGAAATTCTAGAACAAAAACAGACAACTGCTGAAAATCCATTGTTTCCTCAAGATGACTTTGATCTTTGGTAATTATGTACTCTGAACTGAAGGGACAAGTCTGTTCCACGTTTTATTGCTATTGGAACTCAATATATTGACTCTTAGGTATGGGCAGGGTCCAAGGTCACGTTTTTCGTTTACTTCTCTAACTTACCTTCTGCACTCTGAAAGAAGTTAGAAGACTCTTTTGGAGTACCCAGTGGCTGCATTCAGGACTGAGTAATATGATAGAGAAAAATGTCTATGCTACTTACGCCATTTCAGTTTCCTATTTTTTAAAATACATTTCCAGTTTGGTTAATGCAATGTAAAGTCAATACACTCTTTTGAAGGGGTACAAGGAAAGGTCAATTTTACTACATCATTTACTAAGCAAGACAAATAAGAGGAAGACCGGAGATCTGAAAACCCCCGATTTATCTACTAGCTGGCAACAAAGACTCAAGGAAGGAGAGGCACTCTGTTTCTTTTGAATTTGTATGCAACTAGGTTATTGTTGTGGGTGCTGTAGTTCAATGCTCATTTGTATTATTAAAATCATACAAAGAGAGTACCTAACCTAAAAACACAGGCCCTGAGTCAGACAGACCGGGTTCAAATCCTACCTCTACCACTCACTTTAGGCAAATTACTTCACCTCTCTGTTTCAGTCTCTAAATCTGTTAAACAGAGATGATAATCATGGCATCTGTCAAGGTTACTGTAAGCAATGAATGTGTGTGTGTGTGTGTGTGTGTGTGTGTGTGTGTGTGATATAGTAAGGTCTCAATAAGTGTTAGCCATTATTACTCCTATGCAGGGGTTAAAAGGACAATTTTTATTACACATTTCCTTTGTAGAAAATTTAGAAAATAGCAATGATTCATAGGACAAAATGTAGTCTATTATTCCATCACCAAATAAATAAATAAATAAATAACTATAGTTAACCTTTTGGTATATAATTACTCAGCATTCCTAGTAAATACATTACTATGTAACCTAATTGCTTTTCTTTTAATATGTGAGTATCTTTAAACATACTACATTTTGTTTTATTAAATCAATGAATAATAGGCTATGTCCAATTATTCCATTATTAGTAACAAACACTATGTGCCAAAAACCATTCTAAGCATATTTACTTATTTATTTTTAAATGTTTATTTATTTATTGAAAAGTTTTTAACATTTATTCATTTTTGAGAGATGGAGAAAGACAGAGCATGAGTGGGGGAGGGGCAGAGAGAGAGAGAGACACAGAATCCATAGCAGGTTCCAGGCTCTGAGTTGCC